ATATATATATATATATATATATATATATATATATATATATATATATATATATATATATATATATATATATATATATATATATATATATATATATATATATATATATATATATGGGTCGGTTCAGGTGAGAATGCACCTTGGTGAATGAAATAAGAATAAAATCTAACCTTTGGATCTGATGCATCATGCGGCTCAGATTGCATCCTGCACTCAGATTTTGAGATAGCGCATTTTCAAGGGATTTTGGTGCATTTCGACATGATGCATTTTCAAACCATTTTGGTGCACCTAATTTTGATGCAATTCTGACCTTTAGATCTCACAATCTACAACACCAGATTCATTCTTATTTCTTTCATAAGATTGCATTCTCATCTGAACCAATATATATAAACACACACACACACTTTGGCGTCTTTTATATTAATTTTTAAACAATTAAATTAACTTTAATTAGTATTATACTCAATGACTATTAAATTTATATAAAATGTTTTATTTTTAGGGTATTATACCAATATTCATTTCACCTTCTTATGTAATTATTAAATTAAAATTAAGGCTATATTACTTTTATCCTTTAGCTAAAAAACAAAGATTATATAAATTTTTAAAACTACTCACATTTTCCCTTTTATTACTCAAAGACAAAGATTTATATAAATGATAAAAATTAAATGTGCATCATTATTAAAACTATAACTTTTATTTCAAAAATGATATCATATCTAATAACTAAAAAAATTTATATAACACATACCATATATAGAGTATTTATTATAGAGAAAGAATCAAGTATGACTAAAACATTGAAGATATACCAAAATAGGACTTCCATGTTTTTATTCCCGAAGTAGGACTTATATTACCAAACATAGTCATATACATTACCAAAAACGTATAGTAATGTGCACATGTACACTGTCACATTACCACAGTGCAAAGTCTTATTTCGAGAAAAAAACATGAAAGTCCTATTTTGGTACTTTTCTCTATGTTTTAGTCCTATTTAAGGTGATTTCTATATTTATTAGAAAGTTACTCCCTCTGTCCTAATTTAAATCGCATGTTTGGTTTACGATGTTGGACTGAAGTTATTTTCAAATCAATTTATATAAAAAACGATCTAGAATTAAAAAAAATAAAAATTACATAATTAAAACTACAACAAAAGATCTACAAAACTAATGGTGACATGACTATATTCTTTTATCAAATGACTAATGAAAATATAGAAATAAAGTGAATGAATTTTGACCCTGTAAATAGTAAATAGAGAATTTAATTTGGGAGGGAGTAAAAAAATAATTTTATCAAAAGCTTAAAAATTAAAAATGTATGTAAGTCAATGCAAAGCACAGGATTAAGATTAATTTAAAATAGAGTGAAGTGAAATCAGTATAGGGTGATATTAAACTTTTGATGGAGTGTGACAATCACCACTTTCAAAGAAACCCAAAATCAAATGACTAATCTAGACTCATAGAGGGTGTATTATTTGTGTCTGTGTTTATTATGTTATGGTTGATACGTAACTTTTTTTTATAAAGGAAAAATTACCTAAAATAATCACAACTTTACCCGGTCTTTCAAAAATAATCTCACCTTATTTTTTATATCTTTTTTTCTAAGGTAAGAATAATCTTTAAAAAAGAAAAAGAAATGGAGGTTGAAAGTAATTCAAAAAATTTAAATAAAAATTTCAAAAAAAATTAAAAAACAAAAATTCATCAAAAATAATCCCAACTTTCATTTTGTTGCCTAAAACGGGCATTTCCGTTAACCCTCCGTTAAAAACTTAACGGCGACCCAAAATTGGCAAATTTCAATAAAGTTGGGA